AGATATCGGGACATTTGAGCCTGTTCTGAAGTAAACTCCAGGCAAAACATCCCCCTCTCAGTGAACATCCTGGTGATCTCCATCACCAACTCTGAATCCTGCTTCAGCTCCAGGAACTCTTGGGCTAATCTCTCCCTCTCAACTCGCGGGACATAGCGAGTACTGAACATCTCTCTGAACTGATCCCAAGAAACCGCAGCTCGTTATGCATCAGAATACGATCCCGTGGTCCACCTCCACCAATCCTTCGCCCCGAGCCTCAAAAGGTTCAGAGCACACCTCACCCTCTGATCAGCATGGCATGAGCACATGAAGAAACACCCCTCCACGTCTGACAACCATCTCATAGCAACAATCAGGTCCTGAACTCCATCGAAGGTAGGGGGATTTGTATTATTGAATTCTCGACACTGAAAACCTCTACCGGCTCCTCCCCCTACCGCTGCTACAGACGCTGTAGCTGCCGCGGCAGCCGTCTCTAAAAGAGCTGCATAACGCTCATCAAAATACTCAACCATAGCGGTCTTGATCGACCCAAACAGTTCCGACAACTCAGCCCGGAACATCGCAACAACCTTATCATGCAGGATCTCACGAATGCTAGCATCCAACTCGATTGTACTCATCTGACCAATGACCTCGGGTGGTGCTGACCCACCCTGACCGCCCTCTCCTTCTCCCGATCCTGATCCGGATTCGCTCCCAGCATGCCTCGTAACCACCATACTGAAAGAAAATACCACAGGCATCAGATACCTCCCTTTACCTCAGGAACTGACTCTCAACACCGCCCTAGGGGTTATGACTTCCTTGATACGCGTATGGGTCCTATGCTTTCAATAGTATGGGCCCATACTACCTTCCACACCTACCCATATTTATACCAAGTATCACCACAACACCCTAGTGAAAAACAGGCATACCAAGCACTCAACCCTCACTCCTAGAGGAACACTGGAAATCTCATACAAAAAGAAACCCTAGGCTAGCAGGCATCACAAATCAGGAAACACTATCATGCAATTCCTGAAGATCCTTAGCCTATTACTAGCATGTTGTTCTATCATAACACATAAACAAATAACTTGCATGGTATTTTGGGGCTACTTACAGGCTCCGGCTGATCGTACCTCCACATCCTTTTTTACTCATTTTGAAAATCATTTTAAATTCTCTTTTTGAAAACTCTCCTTGATTTGAGACTGGATTCACACGAATGTTCCTCCAATTCAATCAAACCAAGGCTCTGATACCAACTTGTAACACTCTAAAATTTCAAACCAATTTAAACTTTTAAAAAACAACCCAGTTTCCTTAAATTATTACAAAAAGGTTTTCAATACAATTATTATCAGGGTCTTCCCAGAACCATATCGTAAAACATAAACATGAAGAGCGGTACGATCACGCCTTCGCCTTGCCACGGTCTCCTGAAGTACCTGAAAAACATTAAACCACAACTGTAAGCCTGAAAGCTTAGTGAGATACCCCCAAAAATACCAACCACATATACCACGCATAACATATCATAACCAAACAGAACAGCCATGCACTTCGGGTCTACTGTGTGACTGGTCCGCCGCACCGGGCCTTCAGTCCACCTGGTCCACCCTCCGAGTCTAGCCATATCTCTCGAGTCTGCAGTGTGGTTGATCCGTCCACTTTGGGCCTTCAACCCACCTGGTCCACTCTCTAAGTCTATAGTATGATTGGTCCGCCCACATCGGGCCTGCAGTCGGCCTGGTCCACTCTCCGAGCCTCGGCATGTCCGGTCCGCCCTCGTGGGGCCTACAACCTATACAGACCGCTCGCTGGGCCTTCGGGATAATCGGTCCGCCCTGGGTATGTTAGCCTACGACACAAAGCAGGACCCACCTCAACCCAACCCCAGTCAAACAACCAAGTGCACATAAACATATAATCATATAACAATTCACATCCAATCAAACCAATCTAGCAGATCATATAACATAACATACACTCAACAAAATACCGACCTAACCGATCACTAGCATAGCATCAACCTATATACCAGGATACCGACCTTAACCAGGTCTCTAACATATACCATCCTAACTACCAGGATGCAAGCATAGCAAAGCAACAACATAACAACAATACCCGGATTACAATCCGATAAAGGGCCGGCCTTGGTGCCTTAGACCCTGTTGATATAGTGAGGATAACTCACCTTGCAACTACTGACTGAAAAGATAAGATCACGCTGCTCCAACCTCCGACACGAACTCCACTACTAATAATACCAAAATTCTGAATTCAATAAATACCAATAATTACCAAAAATACCCTTGGAAGTTAACTGGTCAACTCTTGGTCAAAGTCAAATTCCTCAATCAAAGTCAAACTTCCTGGCTGACCCTACTCGCCGAGTCAGCCCGCTGACTCGCCGAGTCCCTTAACTCTGAAAAATCCCATCTCAACTCACTGATTCATCCCTTGACTCACCGATTCTCAGCTTAACCAGAAAAGGCTAGAACCTCAAGACCAGACTCGCCGAGTCCAAGAACAGACTCGCCGAGTCCAAGGCTATCTTCAACCAACTCGCTGAGTTTCTTCCTATCTTCATGCAACTCGCCGAGTACACCCATGTGACTCGCCAAGTACCACTAACTCTTAACCCATACAGAGGCTTTCCAAGCCATTCAGGGACTCCAATCCATAGGTCTACTCTTCCACAAGCTATTCCTCACGTAAAGTTGCAAACTTTAAGTGAATCCAAAGAGATCTAAGCATAATATACTCTAGGGATAGGATTTCTAGGTCATTAACAACCTAGATCTGGGGTAGCAACCTCAGATCTTATACCAAGCTTGAGATGGACCTCATTATACCACAAAAACCCCACAATTGATAAATCTAGAAGCACAAAAGCTCAAGAACAAGTCTCTTACCTTCAATGCAAGCTCCTACTGGAGAATGAACCAAATCTCTGCAAAGCCCCTTGCTCCAAATCTTATTGCTCTTCAATTCTCCTCCAAGATTCCTCCTTTAAGGCTCTAATTACTCACCAAGGCAAGCTCACACGAATCTAGGGCTTCTGGAACTCAAAGGGAAGGTAAAGAGGCTGGGGAGAGGGTATTATGTTCTTTATATAGGGCTCAACCCCCGGGATTAGGGTTTTCTCCATTCAGCACCAACTTGTCGAGTCCACCCATGCAAATTGCCGACTTCTAAGAGGGAGAAGTTAGAAGTGCACGAAAATAAGGTCCTTAGGGATCCTAATTATAGTTGATAAGGAAAGCCTTGGATAACCCTAATTGAATATTATAATAATATCTCTAATATGATAAATCCAATTCCTTATTTATCTATAAGAAATATTCTAGAAACCCTAATCTTCCTCCCTAAAATCGTCCAAGGCTAGGAAGATTCAGAAATTTCCTCTTGTTTAACTATAGAACAATTCTAGTTTAGCCCATTTACTTTCAATTCATTCTAATTAACCCAGAATTAATTCCAATTAATTTCCAATTAATTCTTAATTAATAATTGCTATTTCAAATTAACGTATTAATCATATAATATATTAATAAATCGTTTATTTCAATTTATAATTAATTTATTAATCAAATAAATTGACTAATGAACATCTCTCTCCGAAAGTCATTCTATTCGGTTACAGGTTATGACGGCAACCAAAAAGGACTTCGCTTCTAATTCAAAAATATATCAATTTAGTTACTGGCTTAGACACCTTAATCCAATAATATGGTGGTGGTTAACATTCGATACAAAAAGGGTTGTTGGATGCTTGTAAGTCCCAAAAACTAGGAACCAACTAGTGATCAATAACCAAAAACAAGCTAGAATGATAAGAACAAGAAGGAGTAAAAGAAAGATGGATCCAAATTGCACACGTTTGTATTAACCGTAAACGTCTAGTACAATGGACTCAATACACAAACTATGAACTGTTAACTAGTTCAGACAACACTGACACTATTTATAGTAACATCAACCATAAACCCTATTTACGGCCGTAAAAGGTACATGGACCGTAAACGCCATATGAACCGAAAACACTCCAGCCGTAAACCCCTACCCAACCATAAACACTAATAAAAACTATACATATGAATGCCTAGCCCAAACCAACAAATCATGGCCTTATAATCTCCCCCTTGGTTTGAGGCTAGCATAAGCTCAATCCTTCTCAATGATAAGCACATCCGACCTTCCCATTGCTGCTAGCCACATTTTCTTGCTAATAATCTCTGCAACCATTCCTATGAATTCTTTAGCAGCAGGCTCCAAAATTTCAATCTTGACCACAGTGTGATGTTGAGCTTGGGTATGAATGCCGCGTTCACCAAATTGAAAAAGATCCTTTGCTTCAATAAGTCGGAAAACACTGGTTGGAAATTTGATGACTGCAATGGTTGAAGCTTCATCATAGACCCAAAGCTCCTTATTGTCCAGAGATCCATCTTGGAAGTGCTGAATAATAGGAATTTGGAGCAATTGCTTTGTAGGAGGCCACATTACAACCTTAACTTACTGATTGGTTTTGGGATCAAGGATGTCTTTGAATCTCTTGATAAATGACTCAACAGTCTTCATTCCATCAAACTGCCTTTTCACCTGATTCTCCAAGAAGCGTTTGAAATCAGTTGCACAAGGATCATCCGACGGATTGTGAAAAAGGAGCATCAACAAGTTCTGCAAGTTTGACTTTGGTCCATGAGCAGACGTCATTTTGGTGTTTGTAGTACTCCGCCTTTCCACTCTTCCTCTTAACCACCTAGACATTAAGTTTATCGTAAAATCTCCACATCATGATTCCAGACTGGTTTCCGTATTTTACCCTAAATCGCTTTTGCTCGAGATCAGTTATGGTCAGTTGAGGTCGATCTCCACATTTTCAAGAAGAGAAAACCTCCCTTTCATTGAGCAGTAAATTGTCTTGGACCTTGCTTCAGAGTTATTTTTGGATGAGCTTGAACAGGTTCACTCTCAAATCGATCAAGGATACAGGTTGTTCAGATAGGTTGATCAATAGGAGGATCTTGAGCAGCTTGGGAATGAGCACAATGAGAAGATCCTGCTGCATTTGGTTCAGCAACCAGTGTCTTGAATTTGTCGCCAAATTCACTGATTAGCTTGTTTTTCTGGTCGAAGTACCTAGCAGATAATGCACCTAGATTTAGCTGCAAGTCGGAGATCTGTTTTGATTTTTGAATATTTTCCATCTCAAGCTCGGAAACTATAACATCAATATTTCCTATAAAAACATCATTCTCGATAAGCTTTTGATTTATAATTCTGATCTCCACCTTGAGATAAAAAATTGTCGAGTCTTCTTTGTCTGAGATCCCTGCACCTATAGATATACCCTTGCCCCTTGGTGCAGGATCAACATCCTTACGAGCCAGAAATCTTGCCAGCCGCTCAAAGGCTACATCGTGTGAGGGTGGAGGATTTGAAGAGCCATCGGGAACTAAGAGATCCCGGTTTCAAAGAAATATTGTACAAAACTTAGTCCTTCATTCACAACATGACAATCGGATGGGTTAGGTTGGGATGGAGTATCGGCTGTAACATGTTGTTGAACATTCTGAGTAGGTTCCTTAATGAACACTCCCGACCTAAGATCATTTTTTCTCCTTTTGAGTGGAGGCTGGGAGGCTTGTGTTACAAGAAGATCAGTCGCAGATGGCGTAATAGCTGGAGTAGAATCTGCTCAAGGTGGAATCCTTGCAAATGAATCTAGATGAGCAATAAAGTTGGACATCTGCTCGGTTGTTGGTGGTTGCACTTTAAGAACATTAAGTTCTCCTCCCGTCTTCGTTGAAGGATTTACAACATCATTGATGTCTTCAATGAACGAGTTGAGGTCGCCATTGCTTGGATTGAAATCTAAAAATAGATCATCATCATCATATCTCGACAAATCACCTTCATGATCCATACCATCTCCCTCTTCATCTTCATCATCACAAAAACCTAGATCAGTATCATCAGCATCATCATTGGCCTCCATATTTATCACAAGCACATGTTCCTCAGCTACAATTGTGATAGGAGAAACAACATTTTCTTCATGATCTGAGATAGTGACAACATCATCTTCATCGTCTGAAGAACTTTCTGATTCAGATGCATCACTAATCTCTACAAACTGCCCAAACTTCTCCAGTGGGTACTCTCCTTGAAACTCAAATTTTGTACCCTTTCGATTTTGCTTCACTAACCCAAAGGTGTTTGGACCCAGAGATTTTAAATCTAAGGTTTATCCACTTCCTAACAAATATGGATATTTACAGTTGAAGATCATCTGAAGAAATCTTTGATACATCAAGAACTTGTCCTTCCTTTTCCCTTCTAGATTCCTCTTCATCTCATTTAGCACAAATCTTGAAAAGTTGAATTCAAGATTCATGACAAGAGCAACAATATCACCAATGTTCAACAGGGAAATCTCATCAGCACCAACTTCCTTCCAGAGATACAGATCATGAAGTAATGAGCAAGAAAATGCCAGTAAGGCGGAATAGCTTCTTTAAGGTGGGTGGGAACACTCCTTCATAACCCATCCTTTCAATAATCTCTTCGGTCTGTTCTATGGAAGTTTCAGTTTGAAACCCTGGTTGGTCGTTGATTTGAAGCACTTCACGACTAGTTTGCTCAGAGACCACAATCTTTCTTTCTTGAACAACATATTCCACTATGTCTTCTCCATTTTCTCGTTTATTCACTGAAGCTTTGTTCTAGAACTCCCTCACTAACCCTTGATAGATGATTGGATTTGTCTTGAAGGCATGAGCAAGACATCATTTCTTAAGTCCATTAATTATAGACCTGAACTCTTGGTGTGCAGCTGGAGGACCAGACAAAAATGTAGCGATGTTGTGGTTTTCTGAAAATTTCAAGGCAGCCACTTGATCTGCACCAAACAAGCAAAGTGAGAAAATTAAGAATTTAATCAATTAAAATTAAGTTTTCTCCATTAAAATATTATTAGGCTTCAATTTAATTTGATTCAGCTTGAAAACAAGTTTATGGCTGGAAATGAGTTTACGACTGTGAACTCGTTTGCAACTGTAAACGTTTTCAGTTCCAAATCCTGCAAAAACGATCGATTAAGGTTAGATTTAATCAGTTTAGGGTTCGCCATTCTTGTACATGTAAAGATCGAGAACCAATTTCAGACAAAGAAAGATATAAGAGGGTTTACGACTGTGAAGTCGAGTGAGAAAGAGGAGGCGTTTGCGGCTATAAATGTTAACGTAAAGGAAATGAGAGTTTGCAGCCGGAAACCCTCCCATATATACTTGGACCATATCCGACCCACAACCCATGGACTGTAAACCAAAAAGCTTCAAGCCCAAACCCAATGAATCCAATTCTTTTAATTAAAATGAGAATATTTTGAAGACATAAAAATAAAATAAAATTTAATATAAATTAAATTAAATCTAAAAAATTAAATTCAAACTAACAATTTTTAATTTTTAATTTTTAGAAAATAAAAATAAAAATAAAATAAAATAAAATGACACTTAAAGATTTTAACCACTTTAAAAATTATATTTTTGGGATCAAAGTTTTGAGACAACCTTAACCTGTTTTTCAGTACCTTCACCTTCAAGAATAGATCTAGTTAATCGTCGGTATTGTGGTCCACTTAAACACGAAAAATCGTGACAATTTGGACAGACTACAAGTGACAAGAATTTTGACCCTATGATCTTAAATAATATTCCTAAATGACCATTTAGCTGACAACGACCATGGATATTGTTGTCCACCTAAATTTAGCAGCGATATCTACAGACAACCAATTAAATGTTCAATTTTAGATGTACTACAATGTGTTTCCCACTTCCTGATATACCAAGGTAATTAAGAACTTCCAAAGTAATCGTTACTTTAGATGAGCAGACAATTATTAAGGAAGAAGATAGATTTAGAAATATACATGTCTTATTCCTAGTTCGGATATCTTCCAATCATGCAGAGGGATTAACATATGACTAACTAAATTAGAGGGATTGAGAAATAGAATGTTGCATATGCTATGTTCCAAGACGGATAAAATCTTATCACGAAAAGGAGACAACATATGACTAACAGACAAAAGGAATTGCATATAGAAGGAGATGCATAGAGATAGAGTTGCATATGTTACAGTCTATGTTGGATCTCTTCCAATAACTGATAGGAGGCAACATATGACTGATAGAAAGAAAGCAAGAAAATAATCTTCTACAGACCTACTTTATCAGAATTCCCCAGTTGTCGTATCAATACAAGAATTAAGGACATGAGACCATATATCAAGGAAAAGTTAATCCACAATTCTACATACATATTATTTTAATGTATCCCGCAAGTTCCCATGTATATCTCACTGGTCAATCTACCCGAGCGTCGTATTGTTAGACCAAATGGAACTAACTAGGTCCATAAAGTCAAGTCCTTTTAATTGTCAATCTATGTCAAGTCCTTTTGAATCTTTCGTGCCTACCAACGCATTGAACACAGAGCCTAGACAATTCAGATTTAGTACCTTACATAAATTAAAATTGCCTGTTATCACTTGCTTGATATCACTTCCCAAATTAGCACCTGCAAACGAGCCATCATGAGACAATATTTTGGATTTTTGTTTTATAATTTTTTGTGTTTTTATTTCTCCCCCTAAATTTGTTCATAGGATAGAAAAGAAATAAAATGCACAAATTTAAATTATCCTAAAAAAATTAGTCTTCAAAACGTATCATTTTCAGAAAGCTCACAAGCACATCGAATCGAGCTTTGTTGAACGATTTGGTGAATAGATATGCCACATTATTATCAGTGTGAATCTGTTCCAAACGGATGAGTGAACGCTCATAACAATCTCTAATGAAATGAACTTTGATATCGACGTGCTTGGTTTTGGAGTGTTGGACTGGATTTTTAGCAATTTGGATTGCAGCATCAATGTCATAAAAGATTGGAATTTCAAGAAAATTCAAACCATAGTACAGAAGTTGGTGTTGAATCTAGATGACTTAGGAGCAGCAAGCAAAGGCAGAAACATATTCAGCTGCAGTTGTTGATGTTGACACGGTTTGTTGTTTCTTACACTGCCAAGATACCAACCGGTCTCCCAAAAGTTGATATCCTCTTGATGTCGATTTCCTGTCAAGCTCACATCCTCCATAGTTACTGTTAGCAAATGCATATAAATCAAAATCAGGATTTTTAGGATACCAAAAAACTAATTTAGGGCTACCTTTGAGATACCTAAAAATCCTTTTGAAAGCAATCAAATGAGATAGTTTAGGATTAGCCTGATAACGCGCACATTGACAGACTACAAACATGATGTCGAGTCTGTTGGCCGTTAAATACACCAGGGAACCAATCATTGAGCAGTAGTCAGTTTGATCAACAGGCTCCCCCTCTGGATCGGGAGACAACATCGGTCTTTCTGCCATTGGAGTTAATGTAATATTTGAATCTTTAAAACCAAATTTCTCCATCATATCTTCAACGTATTTGCCTTGATGTAACAAGATCCCGGCTAAATCTTGTCTAACTTGAATCCCTAAGAACATGGTCATTTCACCTAATGAACTCATCTCAAATCTTTTCTTCATGACAATCTCAAACTCTTTGCACAGATTGGAACTTGTCGACCCGAAGATGATGTCATCCACATAGATTTGTACAAGAATCAGGTCGGCACCAACATGCTTGATGAACAAGGTCTAATCGATCGTCCCTCCTGTATACCCATGCGCAAGCAAGTGCTTTGTAAGAGTTGCATGCAAAGCTCTGGGAGCCTGATGTAACCCATATAAAGCCTTGTCGAACTTGTAAACATGATTCGTAAACTTGGAATTGACAAACCCATGAGGTTGGTCAACATAAATTTCTTCTTTCACAACACCATACAAGAAGGCGGTATTGACGTCTATCTAATAAATAGTAAAGTTCATGTATGAAGAATCCACAAGCAATATACAAATTGCTTCTAATCATGAAACCGGAGCATATACTTCCGTGTGGTCAAGACCCTTTATTTGCCAGAATCCACGAATGACCAATCGAGCTTTATTTCGCACAATCACCCCAGAGTTGTCTTGCTTATTTCGAAAAACCCAGCGCATGTCTAGTGACTTCTTGCCCTTTTGTAATTCAACCAGCTTCCACACACCCAGTTTTTCAAATTGGTTTAGCTCTTCATGCATCGCATCAACCCAACTCGGTTCATTCAAATCCATTTCAACATTCTTGGGTTCAATCTGCGTGATAAAGCAAGAATAGAGACATGTATTGACATCTCCACTCTTACTTCTCGTCTTAATGCCTCCACCCAGTGGGCCAATGATATTTTCGATCGGATGATCGCGTTAAAGTTTAGATGGGATCTCTTGGTTGATATCATTGATTGTGATAGGAAGATTGTTGATGTTGACAAAATCATCGTCTGCTGAGTCACTCACCTCAGATGATCTAGGACTGTGAGAGGTACTCACCACATATTTGTTCGGAATCGGTTCAGGAAAGAGAAGCTCCATGAAGGATTGAATAGAAACAGGAGTATCCCTTGTCATGATCTCTCTTTCTTCGGGCAATAGGGGAGCAACATCAACATCAAAACA